AGATAATCTCATGGGATTGATGTTGTTCACGATGATTAATGGATTAGGTTGTGTCGTACTCGTCCTCTTCTTCCTTGGACGAGTATCAATCGAACCAAGTGGTCTTCCTCTCTTCCTTTGAGGACCCACGACCTCAACCATACCTCCATTAAGTGTGGTTGCAGTGCCTCCTACTATGGCACTGTGTCCTCCCTTGGGGACTTCTAACCTTGCAGGCACATTTGCAGCTGGTATGTGTGATCTTGTGACTTTTTCAATATTAGAAAATGCATCAGGAATTAATGAGTCTGCTACATTTTGTAGATCTATTATTCTTTTCACTTCACTTTCACAGTGTGAGGTGCGGGGATCAAAATGAGACAGTGTAGAAACACACCAGGATAATTCACGTTGTTCTTCAGAAAAATCTTTTTTCTTATCTCCCCCTAACGACGAGAATGTTGTCTCATCAAAGTGACAATCCACAAATCTTGCGGCAAGTTATCCCCGTGCAGATATAGGTTCGCAGTGGGCTTAAAGCGAATAAGTAAGGCTGCATGTAATATTGCATATCCCCATGCAGATATAGGCAAGTTGGTGCGCATAACCAATGCCCTAGCTATCGTTTGTAATCTTTTAATAGTAACTTCTGCGAGACCATTTTGTGTGTGTACATTGGGAACGAGATGCTCTATGTCGATCCCGATAGACATGCAATAGTCATCAAATGTCTTTGATGTAAACTCTCCAGTGTTATCAAGTCTGATGGACTTTATAGGATGATCGAGATGGTGAGCCCTTAAGTGAATTATTTGTGCTAGGAGTTTTGCAAATGCAGCATTTCTTGTGGACAATAAGGTAACATGCGACCAACGGCTGGACTGATGCGATACCATCTGCGGATTGAGTGTAGGGAGAACGGAAAAAATAGATTTAGGGCTACGTGATTGATCACGTGTTGTAGGGAAGTGAGAGATGTGTATATTCCAATAGGTAAATCCTTTTTAAATAGAGAGGGAGTTAGGGTTATATAAAGACTGGACCTCATGAGCGCATTAACTTAATACATAATATACCAGTAGTTATACCGTGGAACCGGTGCATGGTGAGCATCATGCACCCTTGTTATTTTTTATCTCCTTTTCTTAAAATTGTTAATAACTTTTTTATTTTTGATCCGATTTTTATAAAATTTATATCAATTTTTTTTTCATGATCTTTCAAATGAGACCAATATTGTCTATGTAATTTTAACATATTAACATTTGCTTGTAAAAATATGTAATTTAATTTTTGTCTCAATATTTTATGTGATGTAAATCCTATGTATTGAAATGTAACTCGTGTTGTTATAAAATGTAATCTCAGTTAACTACAAATGTAACTCGCTGTCTGGAATGTAACTCATATTACACCCTCTAGTGGTTCTCTCACCTTTTATACGAAATGTAAACCGCGTGTTACAAGATGTAATTTTTATCAAATTGATATGTAACTCGAGTGTATCCAAAATGTAACTTGAGAAATTTCGAAATTGTAAGGTGCGTTAATTAAAAAGTTAATTCAGGGAAATCGAAAATGTAAATCATGTTAATCAAAATGTAACTTGACGTTGATACAAATGTAACTCGCGTGTAGAAATATGTAATTTACGTGTAAAAATATGTAACTTCACATATAAAAATATGTAACTCACATGTAACTCAATGATTTTTTTTATACACAATTTTAAGATAAATTGTGATTTACACAATTATTTTTTTGTATTAAATTTAGTTCGGTTTTCCTTATAATCCAATAATCATTTATATAATAGTTCCATAATTTGTTAAAATTACATAAGCAATATTGGTCTCATTTGAAAGATCGTGAAAAATAAAAAATGTTGATATAAATTTTATAAAAATTGGATCAAAAATAAAAAAGTTATTACCATTTTTTAACAACAAAAACAAAAAAAAAAAGAAACCAGGTCATGCTCCGATCCCAAAATCTATTACAATATATAATGAGAGCACACTACAAATAATTTTCCTTTAACAAAACACAAAGAAAAAGTCCAAAAGGTAGCATTTTTGTTTTTTGAAGAGAAAGGGAGCATTAAATCGGTTTAAAAGAGGCAAGCGATAAAAACTCCACCCATACGAAGTACATAGTACATACGAAGCATATTAAATTCAAAAGGTAAAAAATCGACTTCACTGGGGATCGAACCCAGAATCTCTGGTTTCGTAGACCAGCGCCTTATCCATTGGGCCATGAAGTCATTTTGATATTGCAATGAATTTTGATTTTATACAACACGTAATCGTTATGTATCACAGGGAATGCAAATTTGCAATACCACGCAACTGAGCTACTAATACTAGTACGAGTGAACTCTGACTTGTATTCTCTAATCATATGATTCAAAATCTAATCCGGGGGGATTGGAGTTTACATTCTATTTCATAGTCAATTTTAAATTTGCACTCATTTTTAAAACAATTAGTGTTAGAAATGGCCACATGGAGTGCGAATTGCAGTTCAGAAAGGAACTATGGTGCAAAATATTTTAAATGGGTGTGAACACAAGTTTAGTTGAAAAGTGAAGTGCAAACTCCAATTTCTCCTTTTAATGATCCATTGTTGAAAATGGGTGCTAATTGATTTTAAAACAGATTTGAGTGATCAATATAAAATAATAGTACCTAATGTAATTCAGAAAACGTGTTTAAATAAATCTCTCTCTCCATTTTAGATACTCCAAACACGGCATTAACTTTGAAGCAAGGGACTTCGAGCACGTATATATACTTACTACTCCATAAGAAATTACATTTGGACATTGATATGACTTGTAGAAGTAAAGATGATTGTTAGTCACACAAAAACTTAAAATGATGTTTAGATTTGCTACCGAGAGCAAGAAGTGTTTAACTTTTTTTGGAAGAATGGTAAAAATATATTTTGAGACAAAAATTTAGTACATCATAGTCAGGGATATACCCCTGGTGCTTTCACAATAAACGCGTGAAGATCGTAAGTGCAAAGATCACTAGATCCATATCACATTTAAAGAAATCCTTTAAACGGGAAATCAACTAACCAAGATATAACATAGTACTCTGTGACACTAGCTTGTCCCTGTGAGTACATATGGGTTAGTACTACCCTCAGGACACTCGCCCTATTATTATCCCACCATGATCTTGTAACACCCCAAATATTAGCTTAGTCTGTATGATATAAAGTTACCTTACTACAAGATACTTCAAATTTCAAATTATATTAGAATGATAGAAACAAACATAGCAAACTAAATTGAACTCAAGTCAAATTTTAAAGACCAAAATTTATAAAAGGGAGAGAGGAATATAATGCCCAAAGATTTTACACATTATAATATTTCGAAAATAGTAAATACATAAATACCATATTTGAAATTCGGAAAAGAAAGTTAAAATTTAGGTATGTAATTTAGTTAATATTCGCAGATAAGACATAAATTATAGAAAAATGAGACAAGAACAATTAAGAGTTCAATTAAATATAGAACTACTATCAAGTAAATAATGTCAATAGTTGTGATAACTTTAATTAAATTACTAAATAAAAGGGTCAACCGACTAATACCAATTAATCTACTAAAATTATTAGAATGGAAAATTTATAAGGAAATGTGGCTTATAATTATGTATACTAATAGAAATGTAAAATATGAAAAGTTAAACGTAGACTACAACTCCAATGGATTATTCATCCGTCCTTATCATATTATTGTGAAACACAACCATTGCTACCACCATATAAATATTATCTAGGGCAAGACTAATATCATATGTGATCCCTGAACGTGTCGGACGGCCCTCACCCTCAATGTGGGTCCCACGTGAATTTTGTCATACCAGTGAAAGTTAAACTGTGAAAATCTATTTGCCACAGTAGAGGTTTAAGTGATCAAATTTCAATATCATAGAAGTTCCGGATTTTTTAATTTGCGAAAATTCACCTTCGGGGGACGGTGTCACACCATCCTTATCTATTAACTGCAACATATATTGTTTCATATAAATGTTTTATTACATGCACTACTTTTCTTAGTAAACGTTTCATTTATATATGTACATAAACTTCCTTAATTTTCTCACTTTTTAACCTCAATTCATACATTTTCATATTTAATTATTTTGAACTATTTACACGTACTTTTCTACATTCATTACAATTTTTATTATGTCACTTGAATTTATAATCATAATACCTTTTCATTTTAAATAACCAAAACCTCCAAAGTCTAGAGTCTAAATACGAAAAGTTAAATTATAAACTACGTAATATATCATAATTAAAATATAATTTATATAATATAATAATATAAAATTAAGGAAGTAATACTAAATTAAAAATGCTTAAATGGAAAAAGAAAATTTTAGTTTCTTAGTAATAAAATTAAGAAAATTTTATAGCATAAGAAGAATAAATAAAATTATTTTTCCTGAAAAAAGTTTAGAAAAGCCCGAAATCCTTAAATTTTAAATCGCCGTATACTATTTAAAACAAAACAAAAAGTAACATTGGACAAAGAAAAATAATACAAAATCACAAATTCATAAAACAACTATAGAAAAAATATTTGGAAAAGAAAGAAAAAATGAAATTATACTGAAAGTAAAATGACTAGAAACACTGTTTTTAACCCCATTATATTTGTAGAGTCATACTCTTTCTGACCCTTAATGCTTTGTTAACTTTCCTTTTTTGTTGTCACACTATTTAACTTTATTATTTTCCTTGTTAAATAAAGAATTTATGATTTGAGTTAATTCACTCTTCTTTACACAAATTTCAATCATACATTTTTTACTTTTTGATTAAATAGTCTACTAGTACAACCCTTGCCTACTCACATGCTTAAAGTATCAAACCTTGATTAATTATTATTGATATCAAGTGATGTCAAATCCTATTACATTAACTATCTAAAATTTTGCTTTATTTGCGGGCTGATGAACCATGTAGACCACATGTGTGTTTGGAGTTTTCAGTTTGCTGAAATTGGAAGGGATAAACCCTTCGGCTCCTGGTTACGGGCGAGCGGGCGGGTTCCAATAGGAGGTCTATGAACAGGGGGAGCAAATGGCTTGTTAACGGGGAAGGCAAATTTTTATTCGGGGGACCGTCGACGGAAACTAGCAGATTAGCAGGGGCTCATGAAGAAGAAGTTGAGATCGAGATTTCTCATCAGGCCGAGGGGTCTATTGCAAAGAAAAGAAAGGCGGATGGAACGGGGACTATTGATGAACGCTCAAATGTGCCAGACATGGAGTTTTCTATTTCAAAATATAGATTAGCGGCGGGTTCTGGTTCCCAGACCCGCCGAGAGCAATGAGTTGCTTAAGTTAGAACTATCGAGGGCTTGGCAACCCGGCGACAGTTCAAGATCTAGTGGACGTGGTCCACTTGAAGAGGCCAGCGGTGGTTTTTCTTATGGAAACTTTTTCTGATAATAATTGGCATTGATCACTATTTTGCGGTGGCCAATGTTGGTCACAGAGGTGGGTTGGCTTTATTTTGGAGGGAGGGTGTGCAGATCCAAATCAATGGGTTCTTAAACCACTTTATTGACATGCAAGTTAATCTGGAAGATGGAGTGCCTGGTTGCCGATTTACCGGCTTTTATGGATGTCCGGAACGATCTAGAAGGAGGGAAACTTGGAATATTCTTAAATCCCTAAGTCTGGGATCTGATAAACCTTGGCTTGTAATGGGAGATTTTAATGATATAATGTTTGCTTCTCGAAAAGAGAGGTCATGTTCCTCACCCTCCTTGGCTTTTGAGGGGTTTTCGGGAAACTGTGTGGACGAGTGGTCTGAAGAACTTTTCCTTCAACGGATATCAATTCACCTGGGAACGCTGGAGAGGGTCTCCGAATTGGGTAGAGGAAAAACTTGCCAGAATTTTGGTTTCTGAAAGCTAGCATGACATTTTTGGTGAAACAGTTGTTGAATCTCTTGAAAGGGCTCCCACTGACCATATGGCACTTCTAATGAAACTTATTCCCACACAGAGCTTTCGTATGAGACACAATATTAAGTTCGAGAACGTTTGGCTGAGAGAGACGGATTGCAGGGAAATAGTTGCTCGCAGCTGGGGTCTTGGACGTGATCCGGGGATTATGGGTCAAGTGCACTACTAGAATTTTCCTTATTTGCTGCTACCCAATTGGTGCGGTTCTTATCTAAACCGCAACAAATAAGTAAAATTTATAAGTATTTGATGCGGTTCCATTACGACCACAACAAATAGTAGCAAAAATTCATACTTTTTGTTGCGGTCGTAAACGAACCGCAGCAAATACTTATTGTATTTTGAATTCCGATTTTTGGGTATAGAGAAACCGTTTTGCTGCGGGTATGGGTAAACCGCACCAAATACTCTAAATTTGCCCCGTATTTGCTGTGGTCATGTGGAGAACCGCAGCAAAAGGTCATCGGCCAAACTCAAATCCCAGAAAACCCTACGGGCCAACCTGTGCAGCCACCGAATAGGCCAACCTTGGCAAAAGGTAATTTGCCTACGAACAACCATCCCCGTCTGTTATTTCCTACGAAGGAGACGAGAAGCTGCCGAAGTGGTGGTTGAGGTGTACTGCTATCTGGCCGGATTCTCTGCTCATAGCTCACGAATGAAGGACTAGTCTGATTATCTGAAGGAGGAAGTGTTTTTCCGGCTTCCCCCTGCCCCCTGATACAGCTGTATTTGGTTAGTTAGTAGTTAACGGAATAGTTAACCGACTAAGACTGTTAGTTGGTTAAAATGCCTATATTAGGCAAATACTTGTACAAACCGGAAACTAATAAGAAAGTTCTTCATTCTTCCTTTACGTTCTTCTCTGTAATCTCTCTTTCTGAAAGTTTAGCTTACTAGTTCTCGAATTCTCTTCTTCATTCTTTATGAGATTTCCTGAACGGTAACATTGGTATCAGAGCTCCTGATCTTTAATTCGCCATTCAGGCACACTACTATAAACGGCGAAGTAATCCAGTGAGATATTGAAGAACAAATAAACTAAACGATGGTGCAAACAAGGGGTTCGTCTACTGATATGGAGGAAGCTTTAAAGCTAATACAAGTGGATTTTGATCAGAAGATGGAAAACCAAAACAAAATGATGATGGACATGCTATCCAAAGTCATGAAAAAGTGGTAGATTTGCAACGAAAGAAGGCCAAATTGGGAGAAAATGAAGAAGACGAATATAACTCGAACAAGGAGGATGAATCTTCATCGGAAGAAGATGGTGATGAATCTGGAAAATCTTCTTCATCTGCTCAACCTTCGTACAGGTTTATGCCTAAAGTTGAATTTCCTTCTTGCGATGGACAAAATATAAAAATATGGATTTAAAAATGTGAGAGATACTTTAAACTATGTGCCATCCCTGATAAGCAAAGAGTCAATTTGGCTTCACTATATCTTGAGAGGGCAGCCAATTGGTTTGGAAATTATATTTTGTCTAAAAAGAAGTTGGAATGGAAATGATTTGTTGTTGATATTACTGCCAGATTTAATGATGATATGGGAAATAAGGTGGTTGAAAAGTTCAATAACTTGAAACAAAATGGACCATTAGAAGGATTTATCGATGAATTTGAAAATCTTAAAGCTCTTATGGTCCAAAGAAATCCAAAACTGCCTGACGATTACTTCCTTAACTGTTTTATGGCTGCTTTGAATCCTACAATCAAGTCATTTGTGAAAGCCTCTAACCCTACAAGTATGGAAGAGGCAATACGATTTGCAAGGTTTCAAGAAGACACTATTGAAGCTTTGACTACTCAAGTCACTAAACCTACCAATTCTTACAAAAGTCCTGCATCCAAGCCTTTACTGCCAACTCCTATTTTGAAAGGCTCATCTAATATTCCAAGTACTTCAAAAATACCTGCAATGACAAATCCTAGAAGATTTATATCAGCCACTGAGAGGGCAGAAAAAAGGGCCAAGGGTCTGTGTTATTATTGTGATCAGCCTTTAAATAAGGATCACAGTTGTGGGTATAAGGGTACTCAGCTATTCTTAGTAGAAGTAGCAGGTTGTGAAGACTCAGATGAGTTGAGTACAGAAGGGGAGGAAATTCAGAATCAAGTAACAGAAGAAGATTCTAATACCAGATCTGATATGTCAGATGTTGAAACCCCTTATCTCTTTCAATGCGATTAATGGGTATGCAAACTTTAAAACCATGAGAATAACTGGGTATGTGGGCACAAAAGCAGTTTTGATCTTGGTTGATTCAGGAAGTACTCATAATTTTTTGAGTACCACAATGGCCTAAAAAACTAGGATGCAAGTTACAGTTCATTTCACCATTGTCAGTGGCAGTAGCTGATGGACCTCAGGTGGAATGTCAATATATGTGCAAACAATTGACTTGGAAGATGCAGAACACTAACTTTGCTTCTGATGTTCTGATTTTACCATTGAAGGCATATGATATGGTATTGGGAGTACAATGGTTATGTACTTTGGGAGATATTACTTAGAATTTTCAAGACCTTCATATGAAATTTGATTACAAAGGCAAACAGGTGGTGTTGAGAGGTCAGAAACCTGGAAAGCTTAAAACTATAAGAGGGACAGCCGAACAACTTAAGCACAACACTCAACTATATCTTATACAGCTACAACCAGAAGCAACACAAGATGGTAATACTGATGATATTGAGCATCACTTGAAAGTAAAGGTAGTTGAAGAAGAACTCCTGGCTATTTGAATGCAATCATTGAGCAGTATGATGATATCTTTAAGGAACCGAAAGGTTTGCCTCCCAGTAGAGGTGTATTTGATCATAGGATACCAATTAAAGAAGGATCACAACCTGTGAATGTGAGACCTTACAGGTATCTCCTGAAGCAAAAAGATATAATTGAACAAAAAGTGAAAGAGCTCTCGGAGAAGGATGCTATTCAACCCAGTGCTTCCCCTTATGCCTCACCAGTTGTATTGGTAACTAAAAAGGATGGGGATTGGAGACTGTGTACAGATTACAGGGCCCTCAATAAACAGACTATTAAAGATAAGTTCCCAATTCCAGTAATTGATGAACTAATTGATGAGTTGGCTGGAGCAAAAATATTTTCCAAAATTAATTTAAGGGCAGGTTACCACCAGTTGAGAGTACATCCAGATGATGTGTTTAAAACTACATTCAAAACTCATTATGGCCATTTTGAGTTTTTAGTCATGCCGTTTGGCTTAACTAATGCACCTACTACTTTTCAAAGCTTCATGAACCATATTTTTAAGGATTTTCTCAGAAAATTTGTTCTTATTTTCTTTGATGATATCCTTATCTATAGTCATGATTTGGAAAGTCACAAAGAGCATCTTCAACAAGTTTTTGAAGTATTAAGATGACATCAATTGTTTTCCAAACAAAGCAAATGCTCTTTTGATATGGAGAAGGTGGAGTATTTAGGGCATTATATTTCACGGAAGGGCCTTGAGACAGACTCCAGAAAAATTGAGGCAATAAGTAAATGGCCAACTCCTTCTTCCATAAAGCAGTTGAGGAGCTTTCTGGGCTTAGCAGGCTATTATAGGAAGTTTATTAGGAGCTATGCTACTATTGCAAAGCCTCTTAAAGATCTACTAAAAAGGGGAGCCTTTAGTTGGTCTACTCAAGCTACTATAGCATTTGAAATGTTGAAGAATGCTCTGAGTACAGCTCCAGTGTTGGCACTTCCTAATTTTGAAAAACAGTTTGTAATAGAAACTGATGCGTCTAATAATGGGATTGGAGCAGTCCTAATGCAGGAGGGACATCCTTTGGCATTTATTAGCAGGTCATTGGGCATCAAATGGCAGCACTTGTCTGTCTATGAAAAAGAATTGCTGGCAGTAGTATTTGCGGTGCAAAAGTGGGAGCAGTATCTCTTTGGTCAAACCTTTATCATTAAAACAGATCAAAAGAGTTTGAAATGGTTAATGGAGCAAAAGATTTCTACACCTTTTCAACAGTTTTGGCTCTCTAAGTTGATGGGTTTTCGTTATGAGATTCAATATAAAAGTGGAATGGAGAATAAGGTAGCTGATGCTCTCTCTAGAGTTACTGGAGCAGAATTGTTGTGTATAGCTGTTGCTTCCATTAAGTCAGATCTTATGGATATGATAAAGAAAAGTTATGATACAGATAAAAATGTACAACAGGTGATTGAGAAGTTACAGTTGAATTCAGCCACTATTAAGCAAAGCTACAATTTTCAGGAGGGTGTATTGAGAAAGAAAGGCAAAATCATGATAGGATCAGACCCTATACTCAGAGAAAAGCTTTTACAATGGGCACACAGTTCAGCTGTAGGGGGGCATTCTGGAAGGGATGCTTCTATTCAGAGAATAAGACATATTTTCTACTGGAAAGGCATTAATAAAGATGTTCAGGCTTTTATTAGAAAGTGCCAGGTTTGTCAGGCCTGTAAGTACGACAACTCAGCATATCCTGGTAAACTTCAGCCTTTGCCCATTCCTAATGAGGTGTGGATAGATGTATCCATGGACTTTATTGAAGGATTGCCTACATCATGGCTCTCAAACACCCATTCACAGCTGTTGAAGTAGCTCAAAGCTATCTGGATAATGTGTTCAGATTGCACGGTTGGCCCAGAACTATTGTGAGCGATAGAGGGTTGGTATTCCTCAGCAACATTTGGACTGCCCTCTTCAGTATCAGGGAGTGAATCTCCTTTTATCTACATCCTTTCATCCCCAAACAGACGACCAGACAGAAGTGGTGAATAGATGCTTAGAAAATAATTGAGGTGTATGTGTCATGAGAAGCTTTCAGAGTGGTGTAAATGGGACATTCTAATACTTCGCATGTAGACATTCTAATTGGTTCTAATACAAATCTGTCTCTCCAAGTACGATTAGAAAGGTTCGATGTTTGAAATATTAGTGTGTTAGAAAGAATTGAATTAACTCATTCTGGTGTTTTCATATAACCACTTACCATCCTCCATTAGCAAATAGCACATCTGTGTATATGCTTCATGGGCTAAACAATAGAGACCCGACCATATCATATTTAATAAACATCAATCTCACAAGGTAAAGTCAAATTCATAAGCGGTAAAACTAACATTATGTAAACAACATCTCAACTTAGATACACCTAAATCCAAAGAGACAAAGACACATACCTAGAATCAACAAGTCAAATTCCTTGAGGTAAAATTAATATATTATCCCAGCAACAACAACACTTATTTACTCAATTGATTCTATTTTCTTACTTAAATAGAGACATACCTAGAATCAATCAACACAAATAAATTAGTAGTCAAATTACTTACAGGATTTAGCTTATTATTTTTGTTTGCTCCCCGTTTCCAATGTGTTGTAAGCTAGTTATCCAATAAACTAGCTGGTGAAAGTGTACATATGTCATTGAGGCTTTTACAAAACTAGCATTTAAAAATTTACAAATTAACCCATTAGGCATTCAAACATGACAAATCAATTATATCACATTAACATTTAGCAAACTAATATAAAGTTAGAAAATTTCTGAAAATACAAAGATAACTAAATTATTAAAAATAACTAAAGAGTAAAGATTAAAGAAGCCAAAAAATAAAGTGGAAGGAATACAAACTAAAATTAAGAAAAAAATGCTTAATGGAGTCAGTGCTTACGGCTAACCTGGGAGGTTGGGATTCCTGATTTCCGAAGTCAAGAAAGGAGAGGGAGAAGCCAGGAGCCCGGGGGCAGGGGGATGTTACCGTCCAGGAAATCTCATAAAGAATGAAGAAGAGAATTCGAGAACTAGTAAGCTAAACTTTCAGAAAGAGAGATTACAGAGAAGAACGTAAAGGAAGAATGAAGAACTTTCTTATTAGTTTCCAGTCTGTACAATTATTTGCCTAATATAGGAATTTTAACCAACTAACAGTCTTAGTCGGTTAACTATTCCGTTAACTACTAACTAACCGAATACAGCATCTGCAGCATCCTGACCTTGCCATTGAATCAGAAACTTGATTTTAGCCTGGTTCTGGGATTTCACCATTTGCCTTGCTAACAGAGCTATTGGTTCCATTTTCTCTGCTGTGTTAGAGTCCTGCAGCCAACTAGAAATATGGGGTTTTGATGGGAGCACTCCCCTGAACTCTTTTAATTGGGAAACATGGAATGTATGATGAATTTTTGCTTCCATCGGCAGTTTTAACTGATAAGCCACTTCTCCAACCACTTGGTTTACTTGAAAAGGCCCATAGAATTTAGGTGACAGCTTATCATTCATTCTTTGCTCTACTGTCCTCTGTATATAAGACTGTAGTTTAAGCCACACCCAATCTCCCACTTTAAATGTTCTTTCAGATCTCTTTTTATCAGCATGCGCCTTCATCCTGTTTTGTCATCCTGTTTTGTGCTTTATGTAACTAGAATTTCAGCATCTGTATCATAGCTTCCCTTTGTTGCATTGATCTGTCCATTGCAGCAACTTTAGTTTCTCCTGGCAAGTATGGTAAATGTAAAGGAGGAGGTTGATTATAGACTGCTTCATATTGTGTCATGTGTATAGCATCTATAAGACTGTATCATGACATTCTAATTGGTAAATGTAAAGGAGGAGGTTGAAATACTCTTTTCTTTTCGCATGTAAACATTCTAATTGGTTCTACGAATCTTTTACTTTATCTCGAGTGAATTGAGTTTCTGCAAAGGGGAATTTATTAGCTTTGAGAATTTCAAGTTGAACCAGGAAAGTATGAAGGAAACTAAAACGAGCTCATGTTTTTCTCTGTGCTTTAGTATGTTCATTTTTCCCCAAATGTATATTGTATAGGGGTATCGGTGGGGTTGAGACATTGGAGAATTCCTTACTTCTTAATCATTTGGGCTAAAAATGAGAAGAAAATACCATGAAAGAACGAATTCCCTGTAACTATGGTTCTTTATGGATTTGCATACACTCCAGCAAGGAGAGAACTATGCTTTATACTAAGGGTTGTTTGGTTTTGATGCACAAGTACAACCTGGACAAATAAATTATGCAATAGCCATAGATTTTTGACCTGTAAACACTTTTTTTAGTAACACAATCATAGAAGCTGGGGGATGTTTTCCCTGTGTAGTAACATTCTGAATGAATAGCAGTTGCTAGTTTATTCAATGTTGAAAAACCCAAAATGAGTTGAGATACTGTCACTGATTTAACATGCAATCAGTTCAGCAGGTTTCTAACATTTAACATGCAATCATTTTAACATGTTTTCACTGCTTTGTACATGTTAACTGTTGTAACTACAAATTAAAGTCTGGCAATATAAAAAAGTGCATATTAGGCAGTACAACATTTTAAATCCTCAGTCTTTTCTCCCATTGCAACCAGACTGAGGATTTTTATATATATAAATCAAACCATATACTAGTGTATATGTGTGTGTGTGTGTATAAACTTATTAGCTCAATGAAGGGTCTTGTTTGACTGCAAATTGTGATTTTACAAACCAGTGAACAATCTATACTCGATTAGTCTGGTTGCAAATGTAAACACAGATAAAAATTGATATTTGGTATTGGTATTGTTATTAGTATTGTTCATTGTTCAATTTGTTAGTATTGCTCATTTTAATCGATTTATAAATTGGATGAAAATATTGATATTATCATTCAATGTTGTTAGTATCAACCTAGTTCCTTTATTCTGAAAATATGGGCTGAATCTCAGGTGCCCTGAAGCTTATTTTGCTACTCAAGAGAAGTTCATTGGCCGCGGTATGTTTGTGCCTTTTTTCGTGAGGTAAGAGTCAGTTTGGTCCTCGAAGTTGCATAAAAGGGGTCAAATAAGTCCTTATAACGTCTTTACTTTCCGGCCGTCGCCATTTGGGGAAGTTCCCGGTGGAATTTTTTGATGAATTTTTTTGAGCATCTTATCCATTATGTCTAGTTTAATCATATCAAATTTCAGCCAAAACTTAAATCGGGAAGGCATTCAAATGAAGTCTTGAAGATAACTGCGCTTTCAACTGCGCAGTTATCTTCAAGACTTCATTTGAATGCCTTCCCAATTTAAATTTTATCTGAAATTTGGTATGAGTAAACTAGACTTAATGAATAAGATGCCAAAAAAAAATTATCAAAAAATTCCACTTGGAACCGTCCCAAATGATGACTCCCGGACAGTAAGGACGTTATAAGGACTTATTTGACCAAACTGACCCTTACCTCCTTTTTTGGTTGTCTGTCATTTCCTTTGTTCCTTAGATTGTTTATTGATCTTCAAAATAACTTAAAAAATGAACCCCAAGGAGTATATAATTGGGTACAATTTGTATGTAATTTCTTTATCGCTTAAACTTGTAGTTTACTTTATACCATCGTCGCTACAGCCGTCCTCCGCCTCATCCAGTAGTAGCTAGTCGCGGCCTCGCTACCTCCAGCTGCAGCCGCGCGCCGCCTCTCCACCATAAACACAGCCGCCCCCCCCCCTCCCGGTACAGTCGCTGTCCCCCTCCCTAGGCTCCTACTCCTTTTCCGGCACATATTTGGAGGTTAGTTTCCAGCATCTTTTTTCTATAATGGACAGAGTACATGTTTGAATGTCCAAATTATAGCTTCTGTCCATGAAAATATGGTGAAAACAATATTTCAAAAGCCATGAAAAGCCAGAAAAGGCTCGTCCAAACTAGACTAACATGTAGTAGGAATGTTAGATGCATTGATCTTTGAACTTTTCACCCAATCTTTGATCTTTGGACACCGGATAAATAGTAAAAAGGCACATGAGTGACCTAATTGGCTTCTTCTCTTTTGCTTATGTCTTCATGTTTTCTAAACTGTAATGAGATAGGATGGAAGTGAATTCGATGAATTCAAAAAGCTATACGGCACTGTCAGGCCTTTCAAATGCTTTCCTACACTCTTTAAAAAAATACATTTCAATCTTTTTTTTCCCAATGACTTTTTAAAACCAAAAAAATTCAAAAAGCTATACGGCCCTGTCAGGCCTTGTATGGCAACGGCTTTTAAAAACCAAAAATTCTTTTGTGACACTAAAACAGTTTTCCTATTGTGAAAAGCGAAAGCATGTTGCCGATGTAACTGGAAGTTTTTTTGGATAATTTTTGCTACTTATATGATTTTTATGATACATGTGTGTTTCTCTAATTATGTGTTTTTAATATTTTAGGTTTCTTGGAGTGCCGGAAGAGATCAATCTTTTTCGAGAGATGAAGTGTGTGAAGCTTGCGATGCATTGATGATACAAGTGTGTGATAATTTATTGATAACTACTACGTGATGGAGTATATGGCCCGGGAACCCCCGGCCCACAGACTCCTACCACTCCAGCGAAGGCCCAACAGGCCCAGAAGGCCCAGCAGGCCCAAATCACAGCGCCCAGAGTACCAAGCAGCTCGCACTACGCGCCAGGGGTGCCTTCGGCCCCCCTGGCCGAAGGCTCTAAATTCTCACAGAACGGGTTTCTCAAGCAAACTAAGAAACTGGGAGAAAACGGCGAAAACATCAGCCCTCGGCACTGTGAGCCCTCGGCACCAGGGTGCCATCGGGTGGAAGAGCCCTCGGCTACTGCTCTATGGCCGAAGGTATCTCACTCGACAAGACATCCGCCTCACATGCGTACAGATCACCGTACCCCGCACAGACATCCCATCCAACAGCCGCATTAAATGCGGCCACATGCGGCTGCCAGCGCCAACCAGTTGAGGTGACCCCTCGGCCAATGAGCGCTTGACACGTGTCCCTGCCCGGCATTTATTGCTACTATAAATAGCACCCCATTTCCCCATTTGTAACCACGCTTAACACACTGGATATACTCTCTCACTACTTTCGTCTACTTGCTCTGACTTCTCTCTAGATTACTTCCCGCAATAACCCTTCGGATATATACCCCCGGGTAGACTATCCATCATTTGGTGCTCTCGTTGAGAGGTTGAACAATCGAGTAAGAAACCCTCCCCCTCGACCAAACACAAAACACTAGCCCTCTATCAAAATGGTGAGGACAAAGCATGCCAACTCAAAGAACGTAGAAGACAAGAACCTGTCCCTCGGCGACGTCAACGCCCCCGAAGCCTCTCATAGGGCTCCCGAGGGCGGTGTCCTCGCTGGGCTGGAACAGGCGGCTGTCGACCTACGCCTTCAGATCCAACAAAACGCCCCCGATGCCCGCCTCGGCATCGAGGCCAAGAAGAAAAACCGGAGCGATGACCAAGTCAGCCCTCCGGTTCTCACCATCGACGTACAATCGGCGCTCTCCGCCTTCATCCAAACGCTCACCCAGAACCCGGGTGCCTTCGGCACCCTGGCTCCAGCTCACCCTCAGATCGGGGAAAATATCATACTTCCCCCTCTGCCACATCCCTTCGGAAATCCCACCCCTCGGGTGAGAAACGACGAAGGGGTGGTGGCCCAAGAAACATCCTCCCAGGAAGTTCAGTCCCGGGACCGCCATAATGACAACAGGGAGAGGCCCCGTAATTCCGCCCTCAACCGGCTCGGAGGAGGGCCAGACCGCCGAGGGGTCCAAGACCGCCTCGGGGGGAAAGCACTCCAAAGGCCCCAGGAAAGCGGGGGATCTGTTTCGAGGGCAGACGAGGAGCGTCCCCCTCGGGACAAAGGCAAGGCACCCCTTCATGCCGATGATGCTCGGCACCAAATCAACCAGGCCCACTCGGCCCGGGTTCGTTCGCAGGGGGCGGAAACCCTCCCGAGGGACCCCCGGGACGAGATTATTGCAGCCCTCCAGCGCCGGCTTGACGAAATGGAGTCCAACAAAGCTCACGCCACCACCTCCACCCCTCACTCAGATCTCAAATACGAGGCCATGATGGCCAAAATGGAGGAGTTACAAAAGAAGGTGGCCGAGGGCTCCGGGGAACCCGTCATCCAGCTCCGGACTCGGACGCCGTTTACCCCAAGGGTATTGGCGGCCCGGATCCCGGAGAAATACCGAGGGCTCTTTCCCCATGACAAGGGTCAAATTCTACAACTTTTAAAGTGTATGCCGAGGGCACACACTCCTCATCGGCTTTCTTCACAACAACAGGATTCAACATCAATTTATGCTTAGAAAAATTCTAAGTCCTGAAGGAGCAGCCCCCGGGCACCCGAAGGCTACACAGGGAAGCAGCACTTGAAAAAATTCTAAGTCCTAAAGATTGGGCCCCCGGCCCAATCAATATTACAGCCAAGGGAATATGGTGGCCGAAGGCCATGCAATACAACAATACTTAAAAAAAAGGGGGTATTCTGTCCTAAACGAGTAGCCCCCGGGCATCTTGCAAAGTTATGTGGAATCAGAGGGCACCTATCACCCGAAGGCACCCAAGGAAAAATTCACACTTAGAATATTTTCTAAGTCCTACATGCTTTCCCCCCGGTCAACTACTCTTACATCAAGAAGGGATGTCATCTCCCGAAGGCTCCCAAGGGAGACTTTACACTTAGAATATTTTCTAAGTCCTACATGCTTTCCCCCCGGTCAGCTACTCATACATCATGGAGGTAGGCCACCTCCCGAAGGCTCTCGAGGGAAACTCTACACTTAGAAGATTTTCTAAGTCCTACATATTTCACCCTCATCTCAAGGGACCTAATTGCCGAAGGCTACCTATCAATCGAGGGCTACAGTTCACAAGGAATCAACACTCAAGAAAATCTTCTAAGTCCTAAAAGAATTAGCCCCCGGCCTATTCCATATTACAGGTGGGGCTCCACAGTAGCCGAAGGCTAAATGGCATACTACACTTGCAAAAAATCTCTAAGTCCTGTGCATTGGGCCCTCGGTCCAACATTCACACATCAGGAATGGGCGCCATATCCCGAAGACTCTCAAGGGGGAATCTACACTTAGAGATTTTTCTAAGTCCTAGGATGTGGGTTACTACAAACGCCCGAAGGCCTCATGCTGTGCTACACTTAGAAAAAAATTTCTAAGTCCTAATTGCTGCCGAACCATCGTTTGCATATCCAGCAGAGGGTGCCCAACTACCGAAGGCTCCTAAGGGCTAGCTACAATCAGGTAGTATTCTAAGTCCTAGACATACATTCAAAAATACCGAAGGCATACATTCAAAGGAGAAGGCATACATTCAAAACATAAGGCGCATTCGAAGATGAAAAGCCCGGAGGAAGCATGCATTTCATCAAAAACAAGAGTAAGTGTGAAATTACAAGCAGGCCGAAGCCGAGGGATGAATAATGTCATCATTACAAATATATGTTTACATGATAAAAAGTACATATCAAATCATGTTACTCCCGGGGGCCGCCTCCCCCGATGGCTTCGAGGTCACTTCTGCGTCGGCCTCAGGTTCGTCGCCCTCGGCTTCCTTCATGAGCTCAGAGTCCTCTAGGTCTGGCCTCTCGACATCGGGGGGAAGAGGAACGCGGATGTCTGGCTGCAGGGGGGGAGCCCGTATGCTGCCGGGTCAAAGTCCTTTGGCTCGATCTTCAAGTGGCGAGCCATCCTCCGATAGATGAGGGCTTGAGTGAAGAACTCGCCCCCATCGTAGTATTGTTTACCCTTTCGGGAAACCCACTCCACGCCAGGCCCATCACACCACTCGTCGACCGAGGACTCGACGACCGAGGACAGCCATTGCTTGTGCTCCTCGGACCGCCATCCCCCTGCCAAGAACCCCGAGATTGCGTCCTCCCGGGCTCTCTCGACGGCTTCAACCTTCGCGGCCTCGGCTTCCTTGGCAGCTTTCTCCAAGGCCTCAGCTGCAGACCTCTCGGCTTCTGCCCTACCCCGATCCGCGGCCTCCGCCCGCAGGGTCATCTGCCGAAGGCTCTCCTCCAGCATGGCCATCTGCCGAACAGCGTCTGCATTCTGGCGGATGAGCTCCCGCATCTTGGCCTCCTGCTCGGCCTTGCGAAGGCGCCACTCCTCTAGCCGCCGGGCTTGCTCCCCGAGGGCAATGCAGGTCTACAAAAACAAAGGGGTTAGCAAGGCCAAATATGGTTTCTTAGCTCCAAGTAAAAAGGAAAGAAATAGGCGTAAAAGACTTACTGTGAGGGAGGACCGGAGGATCCGGTCCTCGAGGGCTTCGTCTTCATCAGCCCCGAGGGCAACCCTGTCAATCTCGAGGGTAATGCCTCTCAGAAGCGCCCTCGGGTCGGCCGTACCGTTCATCACGGCCGTACCAGCCGGGAGGGAAACCATGAGGACCTCGGAAGATGGCCCCTGAACTCCCGGCGGCACCTTCTCCACCTGCATGTCCTCATCTGCCCCGGGGGCAGGGCCTTCATCAACAATGATCACCGGGGGGGATTTCTTCCCGGCATCCCCGGTCTTGGGCTTCTTGCCCTCGGGATCTCTGCCCGAGCCCTTCCTTTTGGCGGCAGCGGCAGCATCAGTGCTTGGGCCCACCGACGGCC